CTGGCACGCTGTGCCCTGGTTTCTCTCTCCTCTTTCTGTTCTCTCTTTCAGTCTGTTTTTCTTCCTATATCTCTTTGGCGTCTAATTTTCTCTCTCTCTCTCTCTCTCTCTCTCTCTCTCTCTCTCTCTCTCTCTCTCTCTCTCTCTCTCTCTCTCTCTGTATTTCTGACTCTCTGACTCAGTGAGCGAGTCTGTTTCCTACTGTCTATCTCTGCCTCTCTTTATTTCTGTCTTTGTCTCTTTTTCTGTCTCTGTGTCTCTCAGTCTCTGTCTGTTGGCCTGTGTGTGTGTGTGTGTGTGTGTGTGTGTGTGTGTGTGTGTGTGTGTCTTCCTCTGTCTTTATTTTTTATCTCCCTTCCCCTCCTCCCACGCCCCTTCTCCCTGGAGGTTTGGGAAAGGGACTCACTGGGCACCGGGTGTGCCCAGCAAAGCCGGGTAAGAATGAAGAGAGGGTCAGAGGCCATAAGAAGAGCAGCCCTGGGGAAAGGACTGGATGGCCCCATGGGAGAGGAGGGGCCACCGAGGGCTGGAGCTGTCTTGGCCACGCCCAGCCAGCCCCCTGCCCAGATTCTCGACTCAGGGAGCATAGAGAGGATGTCACCAGGGTGGGGACCGGATGGCTCTGCAGGCAGGAGGAGGGTGGGAAGAGAGACCACTGGGGGCTGGAGCCGCCCTGGTCACTCCCAGACAGCCCCCTCCACAGGCTGCAGGAGGGTGTGGTGGGCGGGCGCTGTCACCAGGCTTGGAGGGGCCAGCTCAGGTCCAGCTGCTCCCTCTGGTGGATACACTCGGTAGCGCGCTACCCCGCCCCAAATCCACAACCTCCGTTGCCGGCCCCAAATTAACCCCTTGAGTGCCCACCACTCACTGGAGGTAGGGAATCAACCCAAGGAAAAATGATGATGATGCCATCCCCTTCTTCAGCGTCGACTCTGCACCAAGCTCTGCCCTGAAGGCTGATCTATTAGCTCCTTCTGACCTTACCACAGTCCGCAGAGTTTGATACTAATGTATGGCTAATTTACAGACAGACATACTGAGGAGCGAGGTCAGCTAATTTGAGGTCTAGGTTACCCAGAAAGGGCAAAGCCAGGACTCAAGCCCAGAACTCATGGATAATAATTGGTTTTATTTTATTAACACTTTTAGAAAAAATTGGGGTACAGTGTGTTTTTCCAGGACCCGTCATCAGCTCCAAGTCAAGTAGTTGTTTCAATCTAGTTGTGGAGGGCGCATCTCAGTGGCCCATGTGGGAATTGAACTGGCAACCCTGGTGTGATGAGCACTGCACTCTAACCAACGGAGCAAACCGGCCACCTGATAATAATTGTTTTTATTTGGACTAAGCTTTTAGCAGCTTGGATAGGTTCTGTCCATTAAATAAGAAAAACAAATTAATAGCACTTGTGACCCAGCCCAAAAAAGTAGTAATAATATTCACTGAGCACCTACTGTGTGCCTGTTTCTAAAGGAATTTGCTCAGTCCTCACAATCCCATGAGGTGGGCTGTATTCCTAATCCCCATTTTACAGATGGGGAAACTAAGGCACAAGGAGGTTGGAAGATTAGTTTCACGGCTCTGGACAGATCTAAACCTAACCACTCCCCCTTGCCACTGAGTAAAACACACAGCCTCTCTCCTCTTGCTGCACAAAACCAGAAAACTTGGGGGACAAGTGGCTAACAGCTCAGGCAGGGTTACACGGCTCTGGATTACAGGTCCAGTTCGGTGTGGCTGTAGGCAAGTCAATCACCCTCTCTGATCCTGTTCTCCCATCTGTCAAATGGGACAATCATGGCACCCACTACCCAAGCGTGTAGAGCACCCAGTGAGATGATGGAGGCAACATCCCTGGCTTGGGGTTCATGCAGGGTGGGCACCCCACAATGATTGGTGGGCTCTGGACCCAAGTGCTTGCCTGCACCCAACCAACTCTGTGATTTGAGCAAGGCTCTCGGGTCTTGGTTGCCTCAGCTGTAAAGCGGGGATGGTAAATTTCTTACAGGATCTTTAAAAAGATGAAGAACTTGGTGCCAGGGCACAGAGGGGACAGACTGGCCTAAACCCACACTCACAACCCTACCCAGCAGGGTTCTCACTCCAGTTTATGATAAAGATGACAGTGACAATAGTGATAGCTAACTTTGTCACTTACTGTGTGCCAGGCTTGATCTAAATGTTTTACATGGATCATTTCAGATAATCATCACAACCTCCCTCTAAGGTGAATACTATTATCATCTCCATTTTACTGAAGAAGAAACTGAGCCACAGAGAGGTTAAGTCACTTGCCCAACATCACACAGCTAGAAAGTGGTTGAGCCACTCCGCTCTGGAATAGCTAGCTGGCCCTGTAAGGTGAGAAAGCCCAAGATTTGCTAGAGCTGGCCAGATGCCCCCTTGCTCCTTGTCACCCCTCCCCAGTGCTATATAAACATCAGGGTTATCATTAACCAGGGACTGCTGGTGGCCCAGGGGTGCAAGCCCAGGCAGGGCAGAGGCTGAGGGCTGAGACAGGAATGAGGGAGCCTTTCAAAGCCCTCTGGGTCCTCTGAGGCCATGTGCACACATGTATGTGTGTGTTGGGGTACACCAGTGCCTGAGTGAGAGCAAGCCCACCTGCCCTTGACTCCATGTCCTGCAGAGCCTGGGATCCAGCCGCCACTTCTGACTTCTTTGACTGGAGCAGGGCGCAGTTTCTGTCCTTAACTACCAGGGGAACCCTGGGAGAATTAGCTCCACTTTGCTCAGCGTCGGTTTCCTCATCTCTAAAATGGAGTTAATAATAAGTCAGTATCGGGTCAGAGACCTCTGAGCCTAGCCTGGGGTTACACGTATGACCTCAGTGATTTCTCTATTTTATAGCATGGGAAACTGAGGCACAGAATGGTCACATGGGCTGCTCAAGGTCACACAACCAGGAGTGGCAGAATCCAGACCTGATCGCAGATTTCTCTGTCACCAGTGCCTCGTGAGTTTGACACAGGTGTGTTGTCCTCAAGGGGGTCTTAGAGACGACATGAGCTCGGGGAAGGGCAGGTTCAGGGTTAAACACATCAACCCACGTCTGGTGGTGTTGGTGTGTGAACACAAGCGTGTAGGCTGTATGTCTGTGGTGATGTGGCCAGCTGTGTGTCTGTTTGCCTGTGCAGGAAGCTGTGAACACAGGTGTGCTGTCTGTCTTTGTGGTTATGTGTGAGAGTCGCTGGTTGTATGGCTGTGCTCTTGACAGCATTTCTGTTTCTCTGTGTACCCACGTAAACGTGTGTGTGTCTGTGCATGAGCATACAAGTTTGTGGGCCTTCATGTCCCTGAGATTATGTAGGAGTGCTGGCTGTGTGTCCATGCCTTCGAGGGTATTTACGTGTGGCATGTGTGTATTGGTGTGCCTCAGTACCGCCATGTGTGAGTGTGTCTTCACAAGAGTGCGTATCTTTGTGACCGTTTGTAAGAGGGGATAGTTGCGTGACTGTGTCTTTGTGCCTCTGTGCAGGTATCCACCTGGATGAATATGTGTGTGTGTTGTGTGGGTACACAAATGTGTTTGTCTTGGTGCTTTGTGGCTGGTGTAAGAGGTGCTGCCGTGTGTGTGTGTGTGTGTGTGTGTGTGTGTGTGTGTGTGTCTTTGGGTTTCTCTATGGGAGTGTTATTCTGTGTATGTCTGCCACTGTGTTTGTATGTATGTACATACATGTACTTGTGTGCTTTCGTGCCTGTTTACTTGGGTCTGTGGGTTTCTGCGCGTGTGCACATGCGCGCGCGCGCGCGCGTGTGTGTTTGTTGTGTACTCTGGGGGACCTCACAGTCAGCAGCAGAACACACACACACACACACACACACACACACTGAAATGTCCCCCAAACAGTTCTGTGGTGCTTGCTGATCAGGGCTCTGAACAACTCTTGGGTCTGGGGTCAGTGGGCCCCTCAACACTGAGGCTGGGTGACCTTAGGTCCCACCTAGGTCCAAGTTCCAGGGAGCAGCACAGAAAATCATTGACACCCACCCTTCCACTCCAGCTCAGAAACATTCTGAGGTGGGCCTGAGGCACGCAGGTGTGTGCATGTGTGTGTGTGTGTGTGTGTGTGTGTGTGTGTTCAATCCAGTCCTCTCTGCCAGCACCTCCTTTCCCCAACGTGGTTGCCTACTGTTCCTCTATCTGAGCTGAGAGAGTTAACCTAGCGGGCCAGGGCGGTCTGGGCTGGGGGCCGCCCCCTGGCCCCCCTCCAGCCCCGGCTCCAGTTACAGCTGCTGGTTGGGGAGGGCACGGCTGGGGTGGGGCTGGGAGGGGAGACCGCTGGGGGCGGTGCATCCAGCTCTGGGCCAGGGGGTCCAAAGTGCTCGCCTGGTCACAGCCAGACTTGGGGGCCTTCTTTCAGCAGGGGACAGCCTGATTGGGGTGAGCGTCCCCCACCCCTCCCCTCCTGGCCTCACCCCTTGCCTGGCTGGGCTGCCTATTTTGGGAGCAGGAGTGGCCAGCCCGCGGCTTCCCAGGCAGGCTAGACCCAAGAGGAAGGGAGTGTGGTTGGGACGTTGGGGTTCCCCTAGGGGTGGGAGTGTGGGTGCAATTTCTCCCTTCCCTGCTGCTGCCCCCTGGCTGGGTGTGGGTTGTGGACACTCACATGTGTAGGTCGGATTGCGTCACTGTTTGGGGGCATTAGAGGCCTAGATGAGGAATAACGCCTGTCTGATTGTGTCTCCGCCCCATGTCCTGCTCCAACCAGAAGTGTGGGGAGCTGGTGCTGTCTCCATTCCAACCCCACTGTGTGTGCATGTGCTTATGTGCGCGTGCATGTGTGTGTCCCTGCTCCTGGCATCTGTCTTCTATCTCATATCACATGCCGGGTGTTGTCCGCTTGTGAAAGATGTCACCCAGAGGTGGGCGGAGGGGATGTTTTTCCCTTTTCTCATGGCTTCCAGGAGAGAAGAAGGGGTGGCCTTTTCCCCAGCAGGGTTGTATGTGACCCCGAGGAGGGGAAGGAAGGCTGTTGCCATGGTGGCCCGTGTGAGGCAAATTCCTCCAGAGTGAAGTGGGAGATATTTATACCCAGGGTCAGGCAGAGAGCGGCTGCCAGCGGCCAGGGCAGCAGAGCTGGGATACTGAGAACACAGCGAGGCCGTGGTGTGTGGGCAAGTGGGTCCTTGGGCGTGTCTTGGCTGTCTGGTCCTTCGCAGTGTATTTGTCTGTCCACCTGGGTGGGGTGAGGCCTCCTGCTCTTCCCGTTAGAGTGGGTGTGGGGAATCTGGGGCCTGCGGTGGGGAGGCCCAGGCCTGCAGGAGATCCCTATGGCCTATGTGCGTCTCACCCTTGTCCTTGCTGCCATGTCACCCCTATTGTGTGAGTTGTTTTGGTGACACTGTGTCCCACGAAGCAGGGGGTGCCCCTGTTTCTCAAGGTGGCCAAGCTGAATGACAAATGCTTTTAGAATTAAGTCCCTCGAATGTCTTTGACTTAACCCATTGGGTTCAGGCTCCGATGGTGGGGGAATGAGTATATGCATTTCCTGACCCTTGGTGTCCTCCAGGACAATGGCATCTCTGGACCACATCTTTGTTCTCTGTGTGGGTCTCCTCGTCATGGCCAACGCAGGTGAGTCTGGGGAGGCAGCCCACTACCCACCTCAGCCCCAAGTGTAGCAGGGGTCCGGGAAACCCTGCAAGAGAACCAAGTTGGAGACTCCAATCTAAACTAAGTCAATTGGAGCACTAGGAAATTGGGGATCCCACATGGGGTCCCGTCACAGGCTGGTATTTGGAGGAAGGGCGAGGATGCCCAGGTCAGGCAAAGGTGGAGGGCGGATGTCAGTTGGCTTCCCAAGAATGATGGAATCACTGACAACCTGTGATGAGATGGGGAGCCAGGATAGTTCTGTGCCCCCTGCCCCACCCAGGACAGTGCAGAGGGGGCAGCTAAGACCCAGAGAGGATGAGCAGCCTGCTCGGCGTCCATCTACCTGTTCCGAAAATTTCAGCCCAGGAAAGTAGAACCCCCAAAAGGGTCTCTTTATGCCCTTTAATGTCCAGGGTCCTAGGATTCCAGGAAGCATCCAACCCCTGATTTCTCTCTCTCTCTTTGCAGAAGCTCCAAAGGAACATGACCCATTCACCTACGGTAAGGGAGAGAGGGGCATCTGTCTTTGGGAGGTGCAGGGGGTGGGGGTGGAGGCTGGGTTTGCCTGTCCTGTCCTTATGTCTTCTCTCTCTCTCTCTCTCTCTCTCTCTCTCTCTCT